CAGAGCAGAGCAGAGCAGAGCAGAGCAGAGCAGAGCAGAGCAGAGCAGAGCAGAGCAGAGCAGAGCAGAGCAGAGCAGAGCAGAGCAGAGCAGAGCATATCACATAGTATAACATAGAACAGCAGAGAGATGATGTGAAGAGTGAAGTATAAAAGGGATTGTTATTAAAAAAAACATGCATTGAGTTTCTTAGTATTCCCAAATTTATATTTCATAATTTACATTGTACAATGATCTTACCTTTTCAACTTGTAACTTTGTCATACTCATATCTCCATCTGCCTTTTGGAATAAAGAAAATGCCTGTTCTGCATCAGCACTTGCTCTCTCATAACTTTTTTTAGCCTAGGAAAGGTACAATTAATGTTAAGTTGATGAATTTTTGATATGTGGCAAAACTGAAATACTATACTGACAGATGGACAGACAGACAGACAAATGTATAAAGTTGTCTTAATTGGTCACACACTGTATACACAAATTGGAAAGTCAATCAGTTTTTTTGGTCAGTCATCAGTTGGTCAGTCAAATACAGACAGACAGACAAACAGACAGGCAAACAAACAAACAGACAGACAGACTAACAGGCAGGCAGACAGACAGACAGACAAACAGACAGACTAACAGGCAGATATAAATTACATCTCTCTTGATAATAAACTGTTTTACTAAACTTAAAGATAGAGATAAATAAACAAACAAACAAACAAACAGTTACACCTTGTTTGAAAAGACTTCCGATAGCCACAGAGGAAAGGAGATTAATTTAACTTACTGCATCAAGTGCCTTCAGGGACTGGTCCAAAGTATCTTGCACCTTCTTTGCCTCTGCTAAATGCTAAAAAAATGAAAAGGAATATTAAAAACAAACAATAAACAAACAGAATACAAAATACAGCCCATCGGAATCCAGGAACACTGTTGTATGTTTGGCAGTATTCAACTGTGTTTTCCCATCAAGTATTGCACTTTAACTAGGTGTATTTTGTGTCACAGGATACAACATATTTACAGTTTATTATATAATTACCAATGAAATATCTATTTTTCTCTATTTCGAAAAATTGATATCTTCACACGTGAAAATAACGTTATTTTCACGTGTGAAAATAACACCATTGCGATGGCTATTCAAAAATACACGGAAAGAATTGCCTGAAAAAGCCAAAACATACTGTCATTGATAATTATATAATAAACAGAATATTACATGGGCGCTTGAAGATACGAAATTTATCTTCTCGTGTTGAAAATCTCTCACTCGTTCGCTGCGCACACTTGTGAGAGATCCTTTCAACACTTGAGGATAAATTTCGTATCTTCGCGCGCCCATGTTATATCCTCTATATATCTAATAGTATATATATACCTCTTTTCTTTCCTTTTTGAGATCTGTATGAAGTTGCTGAAGAATTTTGTAAACATTGGTATTCAGATTTTCAGAAATCAACTCATGCTGCCCGGCTAGATCATCAGTCTCCTTCACGACTCCATTAAAAGAAAGTTGAAATGAAAATCTAAAACAAAATTACCAATAAATATAAAAATTATTTTGCAATTTTGCAAAGGAATCAAATATAAAATGCCTTTAATTTGCAATTTCATTGAATAAATCCTTCACAATTTGTTTCCCTACATATGCATAAATCCTTCAACAGGATGAAAACTTTTGAAACAACAAAAACGTTTGTGTTAATAGTTTCCTTTTGACTTGAGTGTAATGAATTAATACTGGCACTAGTCGTGAAGTTTTCATCTAGAGCAATATAGGCGCCTAGGTACAAGCTTGGTTATTAGAAAGAAGAAACAACGTCCCAGGCCTGCTTATTRCATGCAGCCCTTCTTAATCACAAGCGTGAAATCGTACAATTTGCCATCGTGACAAAGTAGGTTTTGGTGGATGTTAATCAATGCGTTTCCATGGCATTCCATAGGCACATGCCCTTAAAAGCTTTGTGTTTTCCGACAATGCTAGGGAACACTTTGATTGGCGTCCACCAAAACTATCATATCTCTAAATATTTCCCCCCTATTTCGCGCATGTAATTGAGAATTGAGAATATTTTCTCAAAAATTCAGGGTCATTTATAAATTAATTTCCATTATGTTTTTGCATTTTTTTAAAAATCACAAAAATGTGCCGCAAAAATTTTGTGCAATACCTGTTAACAAACAAATTTACTCACTTTTGGTCCTCTTCCTCTTTCTTCTTAGGCTGAAAAGACTTTCCAAGTTTTCTGTAATAATGAAAAAGAAAATATTACAACAACGATAAGCTACTGTACATTGTCATTTCCAAATATATTGGGTATATAAATTAAAACAACCTCTGGGCTGATCAAAGTTGTCACACAGCTGATTACTCACTCAGTAATCACTGGAGTTTAGCATGTTTTGTGAAGGGAGATTAAAAAACCCTTGAATCAAGGGAGAGACATTCTATTCACATGAAACCACTCACATGCGATGCCAAGTGCAGAAACTAAACCAGAGACGCTAGAAGTGAGAGACAACTGTACTACGTACTATACTGCTAAGCCATATTCCCAAAAGCTTTGATTTATGGAATAATTTATCATTTGTCACTAGCTGAAAGGGGAACTCTGAAAAAAAATCTGTCCCTGATATGAATCGAACCCATGACCTCCTGGATGCCATGCAGTCAGATGCTCTACCACTGAGCTGCAGGAAAGACTCATGATGAGCTGTCATTCACTGGCCATGGGATGACATACGGCCTAATGACTTTGAAAGTCATATTTTTCTCTTGAAATTGTAGTTTTCATGCTTTTAGAATTTGTTCTAACTCCTCTAACTTGTTTAGAAATACATGACGGCTGATTCTTTTTTGTGATAATATACGACTATTGATACAAGACAGTGTTCGATAATGTCTGTATTATGATCTAATCCTCCTACTGGAACTATTAAAACACAGGGGGAAATTTCACTTTCTGATAACATTACTGCGAATCCCAGTCACACGCGACTGACACCTAAATCAGAAATGAAAAATCGATTTTTTTGTTCGACATCATTCAAAGGGGTTTCTTAAAAATATCTAATGATTGACTCTGAATTTTAACCACTTGACTGCAAAGCTATCGGTATTGAATTTACCTGATCTTGAAGACACTCAAATCACACTCAATACTGATAGCTTTGCACTCAAGCAATTTAAAATCGGAGCCGGAATCCTGTGTAATTTTTGACAAAATTTATCCAGATCAAGAAATTCACAGCGACAAGAAGCATGAGATAAGAACAATGATTTTTGCATGTTTGCATGCATTCATGTGCGTATTCACTTCAGTCCTGCTCTAGAAACCAATAGAAACCCTTTTGATCGGCATCCACCAAAACCTCATTTTTTCGTTTGTGATGAAGGTAGAGTGTAACTGAGAATTGCAGTAACAAATATTGATTCCATAACAATGAAACAACAGGATTTGCTTTTACTTATTAAAGTACAATTCTAGAGTATCAAGTAATTTTGTTTTTGAAACTGAATGTTCAAATATTTAAATTTCACTTTCATTCATCAAATGTGAGCATAATTTGAAATTCTTATATTTATTATAATTAAATGAAGCAAAACAGTTCTAAAGATATATTTAAAGTCAGAACAAATGTAATTATTAATATTATTTATTAAAATTAATTATTATATCCATATACAAAGATTTTGAATCACACTATGAATTCTTTGCTGTCAGAGCTACATATGTGCAATCTGATTTGAATAAAATAATGGGACTCCTATATGGTAACCAGTCATTTCGCCCACGGACCATTTCGCCCACGCATAAAATCATCGATCATGGTATGGGGAAATAAAGTCATCCGAGTCATAAGTTGGTAGAAACAGACTCGGACTCAATATGGTAGCTATTAAGTGAACGCTGTCCTTGGTCGCGTTTAGATCTCCACTTTCACTGATCGTATCATGAAATGATCGCTCCAAATATGCTTCAAAATCATATACAAATGTCTTTCAAGAGACTATGTTTCTTTTTAACAAGTCTCATCGAAGTTCTGTTTTGGTAATTTCCAATGGTAGCGATGATTTTGTGCGTGGGCGAATTGGCGTGGGCGAAATGGTCCGTGGGCGAAATGACTGTAAACCTCCTATATAAACTGTATGCTTATTAATTTCTAATCTAATGGAAAAAGAGCAAAATTTACCAGACACCATCTTCCCTGTTGTCAGTGTTGATTCCCCTAACGATTGGTAACACACTTGATAAGCATTCGTCCATTCTACGTTTCTAGGGGTGAGGGGGTTGGTGAAGAAAAGTTTCTTTTTATTTGAATTTGTGGGTCGTCTAGGTCTAATGGTTTTTTTTTTTTTGCTAATTGTAGCTCTATTTAATTGATGAGTACAGTAGATTGACACCACACAAGTGTTAGATAAATTTTAATCTAGCTATGTGCACAAACACATAGCCATTTAAATTAACTATAAAAGTTCWGGTTAAATGTCACCTTCATATCACAAATCACATAATATATACTGTATCTAACCTATCAAAGATGAGGGCTACAAACCACTTTATATCAAGGAAAAAAAAGAAATATGTCTGGATGAATTTATGGTTCAAGTAGGAAGAGGGAGAAGGAAATTCACTAAATTAGCAAAGCAATCCGGAGTGGCACTTAAACTTAGTTAATTTAATTCATACTACAAATGCTTCCTAGAGGGTAGTCAATTAAATGACATTAAGCACCAATGGGCCATTTAACCAGCCAAGGTATACACAATTTACTGAATATGTACTGTAAATGTGGAAGTTTTCATAACATTGGACATGAAATATACAGTACATTTTCAAAGAATCACAGGAATAATTCACTTAATTTTTGAATTAATGATCATAAGCTTGCTGAATAACAACTGGGTGTTGTTTTGCTTTCTTGTTTAATTAATATTTTTTGYGTTAAAAAATGCAACCTGTAAAAAATCTATGGCTCATAGATGACATAGACATTCCTAAGCACCTTTGATTATATTCATATAGAAAGGGCACTATATAAATCATCATCAAATCATCATTCCTTTTGCTGATAAATAGTAAGATAGATCTTGTTTGACTATTCATGCCCCATATGCAAGGTAGGAATAATTTCATTTTTTATGATAAGCTAAYGAAAACAAATTGAATATGAATAAAATTATACTGCTCTCAGTGAATGTCCTATTTTTATTTTATAATCACTACTGCCGAATTATTTTAATGTCCTATTTTTGTTYTGAAGCAGTAAAAAATATAACCTGAAGAAAACCTATACAGCGTTTTCACATAACAGGGCTGCCACATTGGCGTACTTTTGACAATAACTTTGTCTTCTTTTTTTGTTTGTTAGGTAAACCAATATGGCTGCCATCTCTATAGTCAGTTATCTTTCTAGGAGCAATAAATCAAATAACATAGTGATTGGATCAGTCATGATCACCTGCCTAGTTTGTATAATATGAGTCACAGTGCTAAGTGACAAACCTTTTACCACTKTGATATAATGCCGCCCTTCATACCCAAAGCAAAAATTTCATTTGGTAATTAAACCTAATATTAAACGTGCAATAGTTAGTGAAATAAATGATTAAAATAATACAAAGTTCTTATACCTGCTTAAATGCATATAGACTAGAGCATTTTTTGTCACAAACATTATAAGGTTAGTTTATTCAGATTTAGACCATTTTTGAAAATTTTTCCAGCCATAACAATATGGCGAACAAACTATATGTATTGTGTATTGATTGCTCAAGATGTACCACATATTTTTTTCAACGCCATTTAATGCTCTACCACAAACAAGCTGTACGTATCTTGGTGCGTCCAGTGTTTCAGAATTTTTTTAGTCAGAGAAAACTTTATTTTGTATCTTGATTGATGATGACTTTTGAAATATATGGGTGCATTTAGTCTGTCGTCACCAAGTATCATGCACKAGTAAGATTACAAGTAATATAATTAGAGATGTGGTAATATTTAAACCAAGAAAGRTTAAACAATAACGTCATTTATGTGAACCACTTTTAAGAACTATCATAAATTACAAATACAATAAAACTCAAACATTAGAACTAAATACAAATTCTTACAAAAACTAATCAAACATGAGTGTTGAGCTTAGTTCAGGCATTGACCTCATAATCAAACAAAGTGGAGCAATTTAGACTGTTTATTTTGCTCTTCCACACAAAAGGCTTAAGAGCTCTTTCTAATGCCACAAGGAAATAAAAGTGAAATTTTAACAATGCCTAGACCTAAGACGAGCTGAACATATAATATTCAGTCCGAATTTAGCGACTAAGATCACGCTGGGTAGAAAAGCTTGCAACTTCAGTAATTAGTTACTTCTAAAAGGATGATTAAACGGCTGTAACGAGAATTACACCTTGAATTATGCTTTATGTTTGAACGATTCAAGGCACATGTCATTTCACAACTTCTGGCATAAGGCTTTGTGAGTGAGAAACCGTACACCTCTGAAGTAAAATATTTATTTTTCGTGTTCTACATTGTCATAAATGACGATTTCCGGATGATATCTTCAAGAGGCGAAAATAAAACTGGTATTACCAAGATAGAATATGAAAAAGAAAGTGTAGAAAGAGAAATGTGTGGTTTATGATCGCGAGGGATGTTTCGTATAAATTTAAGTTATCGATGCAGACGTAAGCTTATAAATGTCACATAATAGAAAGTTATGTTTCGTTATGATATAAGCTTATATGTTTGGCAAAAACTCTTGACTTGCAGGATCTCTGGTACTAAGATCTAAATTGTGTCAAAAAGACATGCCATAACGAGAACGAAACGGAAATAAAAGATGAGAATCCCTATAGAGTAGCTAACCGTTTTGGATAACAAACCTTAATTCCTTGGCATATTCTGCTTCGATTCGTATTCTTTCTTTCACGAACTTGGCAACTTTATCCACAAAATCAATCCCAGATAGAGTATGACTTCCAATTAATTCAAACTGGTCCTGAAAATTGAAAAAAGAAGACGAAGATCAGAGAAGGACATCGTCGAGGAGGTGACTTCCTTCGAATTTTACTCCATGTGTTAGCCCAGCATGGCCGACAGGGAATCAAACAAATATCCCAATCCAAGCGATTTCAAATCAACGATTTTAGCTTCGTACCCATAACTCATTTCCCCACTCCATAATGTTTCATACAGCAAAGAATCACGGCGATCGATCCAGTACAAGAGTAATAACAAAGGTTTATAACCGTTCCACTACATTCCGCGATGGAACTATTCGATTCTTGTCCATACAGGAAACCCACAACTCATTGCGAGCCCTCAGAACCTGCGCGCGATGTGGGCGTGGTCCGGCGTAGACCCCAGTGACTCATGCATGTACATTTTTTTACGATGAAACAAAAAAACCCTGTGAAAAGAAAACAAGGTGGCTCTTATGACGTTCAAATATCCGTGTCATTTGTAGTAAAATTATTCCACTGGCCTTGTGAGACTTGTRAGAACAGAGAGCGCACAATGACAAAATCTCTGCAATTAATATTGGCTGTTATCAGACTTACAATRAGTCACTGAGGTGGTTTATAATTGTAAAATTATATATCATGGCAAATATCCGAAGATAGCCTCAGAAATTGATGTTAGCCTAATCTTAAAATCTTTTGATGGTAAAAAAATAATGATAAATGGATTAATGAACGAGAAAAATAAACGAACGAAGGAACGAAAACCTCATGATTAATTTAGATCCCAGGCTCCTAATGTTATTTTTAAACTTTTTTTCCCCTCTTTTTACTAATTGTATTTATTACTTATATGTTTCTTTCGACTATTTTGTGCCAAATTTTTAAATTATGAGCAAATAAACTTGTAACTTGTATCTYGAATGAATGAATGGATGAATGATGGAAGAGATAAGTAAATAAACAAATAAAGAGAAAAGTAAAGAGGGAAAGAAATTAGAAGAAACAAAGAAAAATGAAAAATGAAAGAAAGAAAGAAAGAAAAAAGAAAGA